ATAAAGGAGCACCTATACGATTGTCAGCTGATTTCTCAACAGAAACCATGCAGGCCAGATAGGAATGGCAAGAAATATTCAAGGTGATACGTAACTATCAACAAGTGAATCTAAAAACCAAGGAAATTTAAAACAAAACAAAACTGAGGAACGATATTAACTGTTGAATATAATAGAATCAGAGGTATGGAAGGGGAGTGAACTGACGATTCTTGGGGAAAAGGGGAGAGGGGGATGTGGGAAGAGACTGAACATAAACTGTGCACCTATGGATGAGGACAATGGGGGGTGGGGAAAGGGCAGAGGGTGGGGTGGGAACCTGGTGGAGGAGAGCAATGGAGGGGGGGGGGGGGAAGAGGAACATTTGTAATAATATGAATAAGGATTTATTTAAAAAAATAAAAAATAAATAAAATGATAGCATCTATTGCATAAAATATATATTTTTTTAAATTAAAAAAATAAAAATTAAAAATAAAAAGGGCAAATAGGTGGGTTAGTTTATTTTATTTTATTTAAAATTTTCTTTATTAAGGTATCACATATTTGTCCTTAATCCCCCATTCCATAAATGGCTTTAAATGCATAGGAGCATTTAACATCTTGCTGCTTGGTAATTGTCATCAATTTGGCTCAAATACAGGTACTAGGGATACAGTGAAAATGAGTTTGACAAGGTTCCTGCTTTCATGGAGCTATTTAGAGAGGCTCACAGGACACCTGCATAGCTGAGGCTCTGTATCTTATGTGGTCAATCTGGACAGATATGTGTATGAAGTTCCCTTCCCTGCTGATAATGGTATTTGTGACACTGGGAAGTAAAAAGAAGTCATGAAATAATGTGGACTTGGGTACAATGGTGGCATAGTGACCTCAGTTAATCTCTTTGCATCCTTATTTCCAACCATTATGTAATGGACACATCAAGACGTATCAACCCAGTGACCTTCCTGTACAATATGCTCTATGTCTGCAGTATCTTGTACAAAACCAAGCTACCTTTCATTGTGGTCATGGATAAAACTAATATCACTGATCTGCAGTGGAATAGATGCACAATTTTGAGACTTTCTGAGATGCCTTGAATCAAAAGACTACATATGTCAGTAACCTGACTTGTTCAATGAGCTTGGTATTAGATGAATTTTACAGTTCTCTCAGGGTGGTAGGTGTATACTATTTTAGTACTGGCTCAGAGGAATAGATTGTGCAAGTCACCAGTGCTGTAATGACTAGGATAGTTTTTAACTTTATTGTAAGCCTGCCTGTCATAATTTCAAATAATTAAGTTATATAATCACAAATAGACTCACTCTATTCATCAGAGAGGTTTAAAGTTACATGTTCAAACCTGTCTCAGTAGGGAGATGATATTGTACTCAAGTTTCCCCTGTATTCATATCTAGTAACCAGATATAGAGCCAAGCCCTGTTTGTATTGTACTATTTTTTGTACTAGAGTCCTGGTGCACAAAATTTGTGCACAGGGGAAGGGGTGTCTCTCAGCCCGGCCTGCACCCTCTTTCAATCTGGGACACCTTGGGGGATGTAAACTGGCAGTTAGACATTCCTCTCGCAATCTGGGACCACTGGCTCCTAACTGCTCGCCTGCCTGCCTGCCTGCCTGCCTATAACCACTCTGCATGCCTGATTGCCCCTAACCACCCCTGCCTGGGCCCTGCCACTGCTGCTTCATCCAGAATGAAGTCCAGAAAGTTGTTTGCCTCCCTGGTCTAATTAGCATATTATGCTTTTATTATTATAGATTGTACTTTGACCTTAGTGCAAAGTACCCCTGGTGATTTACTCAAAGGTCATGGATTTGGGTTAGGTGTACATTCCATATATAACAGTAATGGTAAGGGTTTACTTTACCTCTATTTTTCACAGTATCTTAAAATGTGGCACATTTCTCTTGAGGAATTTTATCCTTCCCTGCAATGGTTCTGAAAGTGTAGTCTCTGGACCAAAAGCATAAACATCAGCAGGACATTGTTAGACTGGAGACCTGAGTCAGAAACTGGGGGTGGGGCCCAGCAATCTGTTTGAATCACTGCTCTATCTCAAACAGCCTGTGACAATTCCAGGCCAGGTGAATTTCAGGTATCAATCCTCATATGTCCTGCTTTATCAGAGTACCCTACCTTTCACCATCTGGTGTCTATTCTACAATTTAAACATTCTAAAAATGAAAGTATTTAATTTTACCAAAAATAAATGTATTACAGAAAAATCTGGGCATTATAAATCAGATTCGACACATAAGCAATCTTTTAGCTAAAAAAAAAAAAAAAAAAAAAAAAAAAGTAAATTGCTCCAAATTCAATGTTTTAATTTTGAGAAGGAAGATCTAGTCATTGAACCTGTGTAAGGAGATGGCCTGAGGCCTGCTAAGTCAGGTGGCAGTTTTCATTGTATTCAATACAACCAGATAGATAAATACAAGTTTTAGAATTTTCAAATTTTTCTCGTTCATATCTCAGTCAATGGGTCTCACACTTCTGGATTTTGTTATACCCAAGTTGTCCAATGTATTAGCCATTAGCCATATGCAAAATATTAGAGACACGGTGCACAAAATTTGTGCACTTGGGGGGTGGGGTCCCTCAGCCCAGACTGTGCCCTCTCAGTCTGGGAGCATTCGGGGGATGTCTGACTGATGGCTTAGGCCTGTTCCCTAAGCCAGCAGTTGGACATCCTTGTCACTGCCGCTGCGCTTGCCAGCTGTGAACCTGGCTTCTGGCTGAGTGGCACTCCCCCTATGGGAGCGCACTGACCACCAGGGGGCAGCTCCTGCATTGAGCATCTGCTCCCTGGTAGTCAGTGAGCATCATAGTGATAGGTCACTTTGTGGTTCAGCCAATTTGCATATTAGCCTTTTATTATATAGGATATTCACAATCATGATCAGTTTCCTTTAGACTTCATTCTTCCACAACTCACCCCCCAAATAATGGTGGGGTTAAAGTTACAATTTTTGGCTACTGAATGCATGGTGATCAAATCTGCAACCATGACCTCAATACTATTATTTTCTATGTGACAGATTCAGATTTTATCTATAAGAATGGGTACAAATAAGTTCGAAGAGACAGCATGTTAAGACAAACAACATTTTATAAAGAAATACTTATGTATAAAAATATAATCAAGAGCATCAATTTGGTTTAAAGCAACTGTTACCTTAGCACCTATTAGAAAATCAAACAATGGAATGCATTCACTGATATATTTATTACAAATATACATTGATACACTAATGTAAACAAACATGATATAGTAAACATTTAATATATTGGTGTTAGGGACAAGGTGGCACTCATAAACTTGGGTATTTTAATCAGTGAGATACTATTTATCATTGGACTCACAGTGAACATGATTTGATTTGTAGTAATTGCATCTGAGACCACATATTAGGTTGCTTGATAAAGGGGTTTTATTTTTCAAAATAACCCCTTCATTATAACAAAAATCTCTAATAAGGAAAATCAGATAATTTAAAACAAAAGGTCTTTTACATACTACTCTGATGATCAATAATTTGAAACCCAAGGTCCTCTTGTGGAAATTCTGGTTTGCAAAAGCTGTGGGAGACCATTAAATTCAGGAGCCCAGTTACAGGAAATACTGATCTCTAAAATTTCATGGTCTCACATGCTATGGGGCCTTATGGATCCAAGTTAATAGAGGATGTGCAGGCCCAATTGTAAGACAAATCAGCTCCAACTATTTCACCATTTGTAAGCATAGGAGCTATTGTATTCACCACTGGATAAAACTTCTGGGTAGCCACTGAAATTAGGCAACTTGGATGGTAATCCAAGGTGAATGGTGAGGTTAAGGCTTCCACATCAAAATCAGTTGGAATATGGTGCAACCATGAACATGGGGGGAAACTTCAAAATTTGAATAGGTAAATAAAACTAGGAAAGACTCAACTCAGGTTAAGTGAAACTGCCCAATTGCCAAAAGTTTTTCAAAGGAGACTTCCACAGAACTCATTTGCCCACCAAAAGTAAATAAATTTAAATTGATATAGTTTGACTGAGACAGCTGAGAGGTTAACTGGGAAACAACACAGTTAAATGACATTACATTCCTCATAGTCACCACTTGAATTTCAGTATCTGCATAGAGAAGTACAAAGAATTACATTGAAATTGCATATGTTGCCGAGACCGGTTTGGCTCAATGGATAGAGCGTCGGTTTGGGGACTGAAGGGTCCCGGGTTCGATTCCAGTCGAGGGCATGTACCTTGGTTGCGGGCATATCTCCAGAAGGGGGTGTGCAAGAGGCAGCTGATTGGTGACTCTCATCGATGTTTCTAACTATCTCTCTCCCTTCTTCTCTGTACAAAATCAATAAAAAAAATATATTTAAACAAAAAAGAAAAAGAAATTGCGTATGCTGAGGAATGCCATTAGATTATTAAACTCTATTAATTGTCAATTTTTCTCTCAAAGATAGATGTCAACTTCCACTTTTACATTGGTTGGAAACATTTCTTTTGTTGGTTGTGTATTCTGAGAAAGCAAAATCACTGGCACTTGCAGAGGCTTACAACATAAACCAACATTAGAAGTAACGGAAACCTAGCTAAAACTTTTACTTTAATCACAAATTAACAAGTAGAGATTCATTTGTATATCTTAGAAAGCTAAAAAGGCATGTTAAATTTTTAACCAGTCAGCAAAAATATGTGCCACAGATTTTAATGTTCACAATTTAGAATTTATCACATAATTATATTTATAAATATATGCCTGATTTGCAAAATTATTCTCAAAACACTTCTTTCCAACATATTTGAAATTTTCATATATGTTTTAAGGAAAAAACTCTCCCTATTTAAATTTTAATGTGTGATTAAACCAGTGTCACCAAACGGAAAAAGAGAAATAAAAAGAAACATACTGCTGTATTGGATATGTAGTTGTTACTACAAATGACAAAATATGTCCTATACAGTGATTATATACATGCTCTTATTTTATTTCTCAGTCATTGTCAGAAACATTTGGAGGTAAGAAAACCAATGCATCAGTGAAAATATGCCCAAATGCCCTAAGACGGTATACTCCATACATCATCACATGCATCTGATTAGGAGTCAGTCCATTAAAAGTAACAGCCATATCTGAACAGCATCCTTCTACTACCTGGTTGGGTTTATTAGCCATTGCCTCTTTAATTAAAAGCCCAACAGATTTGGTATTAAATATATCTTTTCCTTGAGAATCTTCTGCATTTTCTGCACGTACTCCCACATTTTTCAGGCAGACTGCTAGCTGCTTATCTTCAGATATTTTCCAAATCATCCCTCCCTGTTCAGAACACTTTTCAGGGAAACTTAAAAGTTTGTTAAGTCTTTTCATTGATTCGATACTTAAGACAATTCCTCCTTCCACATTCACATAATCAAGGTCTCCAGATTTTATAGCGTGGCCTAGATAGAAAGGTTGTGATGGATCCTTTCTTAACAAAAAATACTTTAAATTTTCAATAATAGCAAATGTTGAGGGGCGTGCAAGGAAGAACCAGTTGTAATGGTCTCTATATTTATCAAAGGCGTATTTGTAAGCTTTTCTCATCATTAACCACATGTCATCTGTTTCCATGTTAATTGACTCAAACACTTTAACCTTTTCAGAACTGAAGAACTCTGCTTTGTCACAGTGTTTGGTCCAAGTCTCCTTCACTGCAGCCCAAAGACTCACATCTTTAGGTTTTACAAGGATGATGCAGTATACCCGAAAGCTCTTACTGAGCTCCATGCGTTCCTTCTCTGAAATTTTCAAGATATCTTCTTTATTAGGAGCTTGTAGGTGATGATGCTCATGGTGGTACATTTTATTTCCATTACCAATCTTAATATGTCCTAGCATAGTGATTAAGGCACAGAAAATGCTTCCCAGCATCATACCCTTCAAAAATGAACTGCTTTCAGAAAGCATTTTTCCTATAAAGAAGAAAAAAAACTCTTAGAGGATACTTAACAGAAAAATATTGTCTACTGATTTGATTTGGTATTCCTTATACAAATATCTTTTGCTCAACAATAAAAAAAGGTTCCCAAGTTTGAAATAAGTTAGCTGCATATAGTACCAAGGAGTCTAGAAATCATGAGCTTCCAAATTTATACTGTTCAGTATAAACTTGAACTTTGTAGCAACACTTCTAGACAGAATTTTTCTAGGAGGCTATTTTGGTACTTCATCTATGGGGACTTAATTAACCAAGTACTAAATCAAAGCATTAACCCGAGGAACCAATTTTACATAGGTTACCTGTTTATAATTCCCTTTAAAGGAAGTTTGTTTCATAAGTTTGCATTATATTATTTAAATATCTCTGCAGATATAAATAGACGTTTATATCAAAACTTTCAATTGAACAGATAATACCACCAACAACGGACAAATCACCAATGGTATCCGCGTTGGCATTTTTTGTTCTCGGCTTTATTTAACTGATGGCTGCTGTCCTTAGGTGTTCTGAGTATATTTAAAACAAATTTCTTGAGATTGGCACCATATATGTTAATATTTACCCTTTTGTTCCTAAGACTAAATGGTTTCCAGTAAGTATCCCAACTAAAAGATGCAATAAAAGCCCATAAAGAAAATAGTTAATTTATTTGCATAAGAACTCAGTCAATATAGGCATGTCTAGGAACCAGTAAGGACCATTTTACTTCCTCCCAAGGCATTTTCTTATTTTGGAGGGCAGTAAAAGGGGTGAGGTCCACATTTTTATTTCAATTAGAAATTAAAAGAAAAGCCAACATTAAATACAACTATTGAGATGTTCCCAATCTTTTCCGTTCCCCTCCTCCCCCATCTCCACAAGAAATGGTTCTATTTAGCTACTGAGATTTTTCCATTTGACTCTTAAAATTGAAAGGGGTCTTAGAAGCTACTTAATGTCATTTCTCATTTTACAGATAGGGAAACAGAGGGTCAAAAGAGTTCAAGTAACTGATCCAAAGTCACAAAGTTAATGATAGAACTGAAGTAGAAATCAGATCTCTTGACATCAGTTTAATGTGTTTTTTCTATTACAGAATAATGATCTCAACAATGCTTCTACTCATATTATCGATAACTTAATAAACAAGTTACAGAATAACCTTGTTTTCCTACAAATGAAAAAAATGTTGGACTTGTTAACCACAATTGCCATTTTGCACACATTACTATATAGCTACAAGCAAACCATCTCTTGATTTTCTTCCAGAGGAAATGGACTTTGACTTCTATTAGAAAGATAGGTGTGGGATAGCTTGGCAGATGTAATTACTTAGTGGGGGTGGGAGGTGGGGAAAGAGGAAGGACGGTTTCTTGTGTCACCCACAGAACTTGTTAAATAAACGCAGCTCTAAGGAGGAAAATAGAATTGACAGGAAACAAATTCTACCTAATATTACAATTGTCAGATGCACTCTATAATTTAGATAAGATTTTGGGATTTCATCTTCTGGCCAATATGTGATAATTCACATGTCTCCCAGCTTGATAATAGCATATGTATGCCAGAATTCTTCCTATGGGGATACTACTCATGTATTACTTGCACTAAGGAATAGATGTGTTTTCTATTAAGGGAGACAAAAAAATTTACACTGGAGATGAACATGATGGGATATTTGGTGCAGAGGAGAGGGAAACTTAAAACGGCGCAGGGCACAAATAAAGCAAATCTTACCCGAGTGGCTTTTAAGATGCATCTCTTCAGGTGAAGATAGTTGGAGTGGAATATGGAAAAGGGAGGAGGATTAAATGGAGACCAGAAGTGAGAGGGAAGTAATGGTCACCTTAAGACCCCACTGAAGGGCCAAGAGGACGGTGGCTCTAAGTATCTCTCCCCTGACCCCCAACTACTCCTCCCACTGCACCTGCCCGGGGAACCCCCGCCTGGAGCATGCTGGGAGTAGGCTAGGGCCCAGCCACCCCGGAAAAAGAGGGGCGGGGGCGGGTCCCTCTGGGGGTCGCTCTGGGTGCAGGCTGATGCCCAGGCACTCACCGGCGTCTAGAAAGACTCAGGGGTGGGAAAGAGCAGCTGCACGAGGCTTTTCTCTCACGTTCTCATGCCCCTCGATTAAGCTCTTGCTCTCGGCCGGCCGGGCTGCTCTACACGTAAGCGGTGTCCTCTCGTTGGTTTCGCTCAAAGTGGGCAGGGCCAGGAAGTGGACGCTGGGAAGGCGGGGCGCGGGGCCGCGGGCCCGCGGGGAAGGGGGGAGGGCGGCGCGCACGCAGCACGCTCTTTTCCCCGCCCCCGGCCGGGGTCAGAGAAGCGCATCCTGCAGGCGTGTCCTGCGCTCTGCTCGGTACCCAGAGCAGAGACCTGCGTTTGTCTGATTTTCTTATGCTTCCTACCGCTTCACTTTCCCAGCGAGGAAGCTACGAGAGCTTGGGATAACTAGCGAGAGCGTTGCTCTTGCAGTGCTAGCTAGTGTCAGATTTATTCATGTTTTCTCTGAGGTTTTGCCGACGTTATCGCATCCGCTAATTAACAGAGGGTGCTCAGCCCGGTACTCCTGGGCTGGGACGAAAATGCAAGGCAGAGAAATAGTTATCAAATTATAAGGGCAAGGATTCGCTGTGGTTATTGGAATGGCATCTGAAGCCTCAGTCTGGAATCCAAGCCTGTCTTCACTGGCTGTGGTATGCTGGGAAAGTTACTTCACCTTGCTATACCCCAGGCCCCTTCTTTGTAAACTACGGAAAATATCAAGGTAGTGCTATCTCATAGGAAATTAAATGAAATGGTGCATATGACTCCATCAGCAAAAGATCAAGCATAAAGTAAGCATTCGTTAAATGTTGGCTATTATTTTCACCCCTGCATCACGAGTAGTTTGCCTGGTGCTAGTAGTAGGCAATATATATTTGTGGAATTAATGAATGCTAGAGCTACAGAAGAGGAAGCAGGAGTAGGATATGGCACTTCCTAAAGGTTACAGAGAAATTAAAGGCAATGGTGGGATTAGAAGCCAGGTCACCTAATTAAAAGTGCAGAACTCTCCCCTGAACATGTTATCTGCCTTTTAAAATTATTTTTTGTGGCAAATAGGCACAAATTCTGTAGATGGAAGGTTTCAAGAAGCACTGAAACAATGGACAAATAGATTTTAGGCATTTATTATAGTATCCTGGTAAGCACTACCCTAAATTCTGGAGTTAGAGTGATGAACAAAATTAGCCACCCCAACCCCCTTTTTGGAGCTCTCAGCTTCGCAGGGAACAAAGACAATTCATTATAAACAGATAAAGTGGTGTTACATTCTTTTTAAAAAATACATTTTACTGATTTTTTTACAGAGAAAGGGAGAAGAATATAGAGTTAAAAACATTGATGAGAAACATTAATAAGCTATCTCCTGCACACCACCCACTGGGGATGTGCCTGCAACCAAGGTATGTGCCCTTGACTGGAATCAAACCTGGAATCCTTCAGTCCACAGGCTAACGCTCTATCCACTGAGCCAAACTGGTCAGGGCATGTTACGTTCTTTAAAGGGATACAAAAACCAATTTTAGTACTGGTAAGTCTGCAGAGTATCTTCCCTATATTTTGTTAATGTATATCATCTATTTTCACATCATATATATACATATGTACATGGTTAAATGAAACGAGTTGCAGAATAATGTGTATAGTATGATTATACTTTGGTGAAAGCAAACAAAATTTTATATATGTACACATATTTTTTTATCTGTTTGTATGAGCAAGGAGAGTTGTGGGAGGCTCCTCAGCAGGCTGTTACTATTTATTACATCAGAAAGTCCAGGTGTGGGTGATTAGTTTTGTCTTTATACTACTAGTACATCCTTGTATTGTGTTGTTCCACTGGTTATAATAAGCATTTGTTATTTTTGAATTTGAAGAATAGCTAATAGAGGGAACTTTAAAATTTGAGGGACAATATGGATAAGAGGAAGAGAAACCAGTAAAAATACCCTTTAAATAATGAGATCTTACTTTTTGTGACAGCATGGATGGACTTGGAAGGTATTATGGTAAACGAAGTAAGTCAGACTGAGAAATACAAATACCATATGATTTCACTTATATGTGAAATCTAATGAAAAAAATAAAGTAGGAACAGACTCATAGATGCAGAGAACAGACTGATAGCTGTCAGAGGGAGAGGGTTGGGGGCCTGGTTGAAAAGGTGAAGTAATTAAGCAGTACAAATTGGTAGTTACAGAATAGCCACAGATATGTAAATTATAACATAGGGACTAGAGTCAATAATATTGTGATAACTATGAATGGGGCCAAATGGTACTTGAAACAGTGGGGGAGCCACTCTGTAAAGTACATGATTTTTTAACCACTTTGCATCTGAAATTAATACAGAATAATGTTGAATATATAATACCCTGTTTCCACGAAAATAAGACAGCGTCTTATATTAATTTTTGCTCCCAAAGGTGCGCTAGGTCTTATTTTCAGGGGATGTCTTATTTTTCCATGAAGAGGAATACGGTACACATTTATTGTTAAATGAAAATGAAGGAAATTCATTACCTGTACATGGTATGGTAGTACGGTAGTTGTCAACACAAACCAGACAAACTGTGAATCCTACAGTATCAAGAATTTACTCATTTATTCAATGACAATCATGTCATCATCTTCTGGAACATCATCATAACAATCCAATTCCTGAATTTCCTGGTGAATTTCTTGTGACTCCATTTCTTTCAGAATCAGTGGACCAAATCTCTCATGTTTATCAATAGCACTGTCTTTAAATGAGTACTTCTTGTCAAGGTAGCCTGCTCACAGTGCATTTGCAATGCAACTGTCAGTGATTTTCTCCCATGAATTCTTCACCCAAGTCACAACTTCTTGCAGTTTAGGTTTCACAAAGTTTCCACGCTGATTTCTCTCCATTCTATTTTCAATGTAGTCATTAATTTCCATGCGCAAATTGTCTTTGAATGGCTTGTTTATTGCAATATCAAGAGTCTGGAGATAGGCCGTCATTCCTGCGGGAATCATTATCTGATCTATTTTTCTTTCGTGAAGAAATGTCTTCATTTCTTTAGCGCGGTGAGTGCTGGCTGCATCCCAGACTATCGGACCTCTTTGGCTCCCTCGCATAACAAGCGGCAGCATTAAATCAACCCACTTCCTTATAACTGCTTGTGTGGCCCAGGCTTTTTCAGTTTCAAGAATAAAAACACCCAAAACCCGTTCAATCTTTTCCTTCTTGCCCTTAGAAATGATTAAAGGTGGGATTTTAGTGCCATCCAGACGAATTGCCAAAATACAGGAAACACGTACACTTTTGTAAGCAGTGCAGGGAATGTACACTAAGGAGGCACTTCGCTGTTCAATTGTTGTTTGAGATGATTGGTTCATAAACACTGCAGTTTCATCCATAGCAATCATATTGGAAAGATTGTATTTAGAGAAGTCAGCATCATCAATAAAGGACTTGAATGCAAGTGCTCGCTTCATAACTTGGGTATCTTCCAACCTAAACAATGTTGTACCAGTAGATCTTCTTAAAGACAGTTCACTTCATTGAAGGAAATTATCTAGCCAGTGTTGTGATGCTTTGAAGTCTTTGGGGGCTATATCAAACTGTGGTGCCATTGCAAGGGCAAATTCTTGAATCTGAGCCCTATTCACAACCAAAGCCTTTGCTCTCCTGTCAACAACCCATTCACAGATCAGGTCTTCCAGCTCTGAAAATAATGGTTGCCAACCTGATCCACACTTGCGCTTTTTAGCATTTCCCTTGTCCACTTGTTCAATGAGGTTACCATACCCTGCTCACCGTTTTCGGACCAGTCGGATACTCAACATCTTCTCTTTGCAGAAAGCAGTAAGATTTTTGGCCCCAAGAGTCTTCCACGATTCCTTTCTTGTACTCCATGGAGTAGCTTTTTCTTTTTGTGCTCATTTCTAGGGGTAAAAATAAAAAGGAATTGGGGTATCAAGGTGGGGGGAGGGAGGTCACTTAAAATGACACAGGAGGTATCAGAGGGGGGAATCAAAATGGCACAAGAGAATCAGAGGGGGCATTACCATTTTAGTAACCCCTTTTGATCCTCCTGTGTCATTTTAAGTGATCCCCCTCCCCCCACCCCTGTGCCACTGAACACCTTCACCAGACATCCCCCCCTACCCCTTTATCAGGTGATGTCACCAGAGACAGACCAGCACACCACCTTCATTCACTGCTTCCTGTCCGCTGTAATCCTCCTGTTCTTCTACAGGCATCTGCGAAAGTCTCTTCCTCTCTCTTACCCGGAGCTCACAGCTCACCACTCACTCTGATCTCCGCTCCGCCTCCACTCACCAGTGATGTCAGGACTCCACGTAGTCACTGGTTGCTAGATGCCAGTCGGGGCGGCCCTAGCGACCAGTTTAAGGTAAATTAATTTTCATTCTGACACAGAGCTTAGGGGGGGCCTTATTTTCCGGGGGATACCTTATATTTCACTCAGAAGGAAACCTGTGAGTAGGTCTTATTTTCAGAGGATGTTTTATTTTTGGGGAAACACGGTAATTGGAAATTTTAAAAAAGAAGTTAAAAAAAAGAAACTAACTAGAAGAAAAGTAATTCAGGGGACAGAACATTTGGGATAACCTAATGAGCAGCCTATGCACTGTATATAAGACAAAAAAAATAACATGCAATTAATGTTTGTTAAAATTAAGAATATTTATACTCACTTCTTGTGATCTCTCACCCAGAAATTA